TCACCATCACTAATGATTTTTGTTGTTGTTCAGTTGTTTTCAGTCACCTCTGACTCTTCGTGACCCCATTTGGGGTTTTCTTGGCAAAGATACCAGAGTGGTTTACCATTTCCTTTTCCAGCTCATTTTACCAATGAGGAAACTGAGGCAAACAGGGTTACGTGACTTACCCAGGTTCACACAGCTAATAACTAGGTGAGGCCACATTTGAACTCAGGAAGATGAGTCTTCCTGACTCCAGGCCTGCACTCTAACTACTGCACTACCTACCTGCCCACTAATAATGATAATAGCTTGCATTTCCGTGTTAGTCTTATAGTTTACAAAGCATGTTAAATATGTCATTTGAAAGAAAGGATTCCTCTCAGGGGAATAAGAGATATAATTATCAACACAGGCAAGGTGGCCTACTCTGAATTTTTGACTCTTGGGGCCCAGAATTTAAACAGTAAGAAAGGAGGCTATTGAATCTGATGAGATACACCTCCCAGCACCACAAACATTGGTTAGCTGAGATCTGATAGTGACTCCCCAAGCCCCTGTAGAACAGGAAACAAAACACAACTGGGGAAGACAAAGATCATATCCACCACCTAGTCCTGGTGATGAGTCACTTTCTGGCTAAATAGGCACCAGCAGAGCAGAGGAGCAAGGCCCATCCAGCACCAGGAAATGGCATCTAGAACCCAGGGAACCAACGAATACAATGCCAACTGGCGCTCACTATCTGTAGGCTGCTGGCCAGAGAAGATATAGGGTTTCTTTTCAACTTCTTTTCTTTGCAAAATGCAAGATGTCCCACCTACCCATTGCTACATATGCAAATTGTAGTAATCCATAGAAAACTTACTTCTGTAATCATTTATTCACCAAAGTGTTATTCAATCTCAAAGATCTAGAGTAGGAAGGAACCTCAAGACCCATCTTGTCAAACTTCTTCGTTTTGTGAAGAAACAGATTCTGGGAGGGATTGAGTGATTTACCCTAAGTCATAAAGGTAGAATAAGCAACAGGAGCAGGATTGGAACTCAGGGTCCTTTGCTTACCAGAACGGGATTCTCTTCATCGTACCTGCTCCTTCCTCTAAAATCTGTCTGCTGGTAATTGAAACCATAAAATCAATCTACAAGCATTTACTGAATACTTACTGTATGTCAGCAATAGTGCTAAGCACTGGGGACACAAAGAAACATTAAAAAAAAAAAAAACAAAAACAAGAACAAACCTTCTCCTGCCTTCTGCCCTCAAGAAGCTTGCATTCCAAAGAGATTCATTTGAACTATAGACTGTGACAGCAATAATAACAATAAAAAATAATTAAAGATTTTTCTGCAAAACTGAACTATATTTCCCCCTCTGTTGCAAAAGAAAAACATAGCTTGTTAGAACAAACCAACTGAAGATTTAAGGCAACTAAAACTGATGAACTTTTCCTTCTATAATTAGAATATCTGGGAAAAGTAGAGAAAAGATCTATGGCAAACATTGCAACCTAAAACTTCTTGCTGTTGGGTTTCTGCTTTTTGCCCTTTTCTCTTGCCATAACAATGTACTGCTTGGTGACATGGAGATAAAAATGGAAGTAAATGTTGTCACATTGATCAGCATATATTAATCATTTGGAAGCAAGTAGTTGGAAAGAGAGCCCTGTTTCCCCAGGTCATACATTTAGAGTTTCCATGCAGTTTTCATCATGATGATGAAATAGATATCGGTGTCTATCGATGCACTCACTCCTGCATAGTAGTTCATAAATTCCTCCGGTGTAACCTGCAGTGGCAAAGTTTAAAACAGAAAAGGAAATCTTCACATCTCATTGCTGCATTGTCTAGAATATAGAAGAAGAAAAAATGGAGCCTAAAAGGCTTTCAAGTTAAAGCAGCTAAGGAATGGACCTGAAATAAGAGAATCCAATAATGGACAGTCAAAAGTATGTGGGGAAAACACTTTCCAAAGGGAACGTGGCTTTTGAAGGAAAAATAAGTGAGGGAGGAAAGAAGGATATAAAGAATGAAGAAAGAAAGCTTGACAATTTCTAGGCAAATTTAGATTTCTTAAAAGTGGCACATCATCCACGTCATCTTGCTTTAAGATCAAGGGCATGCCTGTTGAAGATATGTGAGACTGATACTCAAAACACAACTGATTTGTTTTCTTAACTATGGTTAAGTTTGTCATTCTGCGACATAACTGGTTGCTATGGTAGGATAAGCACGGCAAAGTGATTTTCTACCTTTCAAAGACTGGAGTTTAATTCTAAGTGCTGAGACAGAATTCCAGTTTAATGATCTTCTATTATCTGCTTTCATAAGAGGCAAATGTTTCACTGGATGAAGAGCAGAAGAAGACAAAAATGGCTTCTGGTTTTTTTTTTCAATTTTATATGCATGCTTATCCTCACTTTTATTAAACCAATGAGATCCTTCATCTAAGTTTGGAGTTTAGGCCATTTTGCTTCTTGAAAAAGAGGAGAAAAGAATGTTATCTATCTTATTTCATAAGCCTTTTACGCCAGATGTGTAGATATAGCCAGTTTAACTACCTAAGTATTTGATTTAGTAGGGGAAAAAAGTCATCAAATTCCAACCAATTATCTAAGTGATTTTCTTGGCTTTTTGACTGACTTTACCTAAGAATTCAACTAAAAGAGTACAACCATTTATATGTGCAGAAAGAGTCGTTATTTAAGTAATTCACATTCCTAGTCAATCCTCAATTATATCTTAAGGAATAAGAATGGCAGGGACACCTGAAATTCACAGAGTAATTTTTAAAAACCCCTCTGCAGCCTATAGTTGCAACCTCCTTCATTGTTGTTAAATTTTAAATTTCTGTAGCTACTAAGAGTAATAATGATCTGAATTTCATCTTTGTGTCTTTCTAATGTAAGTGTTAATGAGGACAAGGAGAGAAAGGAAGAGAGAGAACACCTAAAACAGAAAGAAGAGGACACAAAATTGGGTCTGAATAATCCACAGAGCAGATCCCCCGAGGAATCCAATAGTAACTAGAGAAAGAGAAAGAGAAAAAGTTGGTTAGATATCTCAGAATTCAACATTTGTCAGTGACTTTGTTATCTTCAATGTACGTGGATAGGATCCAGTGAAATTTGAAATCAATATCATTTGAGCTCTTAGTTTCACTAATGGCTTATTTACCTAATGACTAATTTGCATACTCCTTCTTAAAAGGTCAACTTCCACCTAGACCCCTGTCTGCCAGTATTTGGTTTCCCCTGTGGTTTAATGTTTGTACTCAGCACTCTCCTCACTTGGTTTTCCAGATAGCTTTGTCCTGTTGTCCCGATTTCCCAGTCTTTACTTTCTAAGTCCCTGTCTAGCCCTTCACCTGCCTTTGTACTACTACTTCTTAAACTTCAAAATAGTTTGGTGGCTACTCCACAAAGGCACACCTCACTCTGAAAGAATCCAATGTAAAAAAAAATATCTGGGGCTGATAACTTATTTTGCAAAGGGATTCAGTGGAGGATTCCTTCATATGCTGAGTTTCCCTAGTACCATTAAAACATGGTACAATTCAAAAAAAGTTTGGTTTACATGAAACTTTTCAGGAACACTTACTTTAAACCCAATAATCTTGGGTATTAAAATGTTTACTTTTGGTACCTTCAGCCACCACAACAGCAAAGAGTTCTTTCATGTGAAGGATAATATATCATCCTACATTTTTGCCACTATACTTCAAAAGTTAAACTCAGTCATCAACAGGAAAATTGATACTGTTGGTTGAACCAATGAGTAAAATACTTGCTGGCTAAATAAGTTTAGAGTCAGAAAGGACCTTAGAAATCTAGTCAATGCCCCTTATTTTAAAGATGAGGAAACTGAGGTCAAATATTTTTAAGTGACTTATCCAAGGTCATACGGCTGGTGGCAGAGTGAAGACTAGAACTCAGGTCTCCTAACTCCAAGTCTAGAGTATTTCCTACCATTCTGGAGTAGTTTTCTGAACTAAAAGGAAGATTGTTTATTTAAAAGATTCTATTGCCTCTTTTTTCCATAATGCTGGGGACTGCCAATTTAATAATAAAGGCTGACCACAGATTTCTGAGGAAAGCTGGGGAATACTCTTTCAGAAGATAATATATTTTTCCTTTTCCCATCTCCATTTTTCCTTCTTGTCAAACTTTTTTTTAGCATGTACCTCTCCCCCGTGAAAAGAGAGGTTGATTTCACACTTTTACCAGTTCTGTGACTCTCAGGACCTCAATTTTCTCATCTGTAAAATGAGGGGATTGGAACATTCTCCTAGGAAGAAATTTCCCAGCTGCTGTTATCAGTAAGAAAACCAAACAGCAGAAGGAGGTCTGGGGAATTGTGACTAAGGTATACCCCCTTTTCTTCTTCTGGAATGTTTTTTTTTTCCAGGAAATCAAGTCTTTAGGATGTCCTTTACGAGCAGACAATGGGAACAGAAAGTAATTACAAATTTGGGTGAAGGACCACTCTGGGAAATGCTGCTTTCAACTCTCTAAAAATCAAAAAGTTGATATTGGTAATGGTAACTTTGAAGAACCGAAGACCTTGAAATGCAGTCAGAATTATGCTCAGAAAGATTGGATCGTTGAGATTAAAACATAGCATAGTGAGTGTCTTCAGGGTTGAATACATTTTATTGTCTTCTAATTCTTGAGAAAATGATCATCCATGGATGGTACTGATGGTGACTCTTTGTTAACCAGATTAATGTATAATTAAACAAAGCAGCCCATTCCCCCACTATGCTTGAAGATCAGATAACTAAGAGTTTTCCTTCTGTGGCTACAGTGACAACGTATCTGTCTGCTTTAGTTATTTTTAGTATTTTAGTATTTGTCAACATTTTAAAACTTTGGTAAAGTACTTCCTTGCTTTCTTTCTTTCTATTCGCAGCCAGATATGATAGAAAATTTGTCTGGTTCTGAACTCATCAGTCCCTTTTCATATTGAACAATTAAAATTAATTAGCCAAGTTCCACTTAGCTTAAGAGCTTCACTTACCAATCCATCCTTGTCATAGGGTGAATCAAAGTTATCCAGAAATTTTCTGAAAACCTGCTCCTCTGTCCATTCTCCATTCTGGTACTTTGGATGGTGTTTTACATTGTACACCCCACGTAAATCCTCAATTGTTATCACACCATCACCTGTCTTGTCTAACTTCCGGAAGGCCTGCATGATGACCTCTTTCCTGGCTCTGGACATTGGGGGCTACAGGAAGAGGAAAAAAATGCAAACCTCATAGAAAAGCACTGCTGTACAGAGTATGATGAACTCATTTACTAATTCCAGGGCTCAGAATGTATCTCATATCCACCAGTGGTCCAAAGGGTCCAAAGGGTGCTAAGTCTTAGAAATTCCCAGGCAGCCTTCTCCTTTCTTCTCCCCTAAAGCACATTGTGGTTATCTGTCTTCCATTTGGGAGATGCAGCAATACCTACCATCCACAGGCAGGAAACCACACCATGCAGAAATTAGGTCTTTGATGACCCTAGAATCCCAGGTTCAAAGTTGGAAGGGACATTAGAGGTCACTTAGTTCTAATCACCTTCATTGTGTACCAACAGGTACCAAAGACAAAAATCAAATTATAGAGCAAACAATTGGAAAACCAAGTACATATGTAGTACTCTGATACTTACCCTTAATGTGAGAAGAAATTCATTAAAATCTATTTTCCCATTTCCATCTTTATCGAATTGGCTGAAAAGTTCCTGTGCTTCTTCTTTATCCATCACCACAGCATAATCATTTAACCCTTTCACGAACTCTTTGAAGTCAATGGTTCGGTTGTTATCATCATCCATGATCCGAAATACTCTGAAGAAAACACAAACATACAAACACATACGCATAGCCACTAAGAGGAAAGTAGGCGTGGGAGTAAAAAAAAAAAAAAAAGGCAAACCAACGCCAAGGTTTTTCATCATAAAATTATAGACACTCAGAAAGGAGATAATGTATGCATGTCAAATGCTTTGCAAAACTCCAACTACTATATAAATACAAACCACTAGTGTTATCCCTCTGTTCTGTCTGGTCTGACCAAACTGAAACAATATTTTCTAAACTTCTTCAAAAAGGGAAATGGAACTTAAAATAAAACACATGCAGGACATGATACAAGTTCTTTCCCTGAGATGAGCCATTAGCTAAAAGACATTGTGATTTTCTGTCTTTCATTTGGGAGATGCAGCAATACCTACCATCCACAGGCAGGAAATCAAACCATGCAGAAATTAGGTCTTTGATGACCCCAGTATCCCAGGTTTAGAGTTGGAAGGGACTTTAGAGGTCATCTAGTCCAGTCCCCTCACTTACAGATGAGGTGAACCCCAGGATGTAGTGAGTAGGTTCCTCACCCCACCCCTACTTGAGGCCTTCAAGTGAAGCCCGGCTGACCACTTATCATGGATTCTGTAGATTTCTATTCTGTTACAACATCAGCTAGAACATCTCCTACGCTACATACTTTCCAATTCTGTGATACTCTTGCCCGTTTACAATGAGGAGAGTGTTGAGAGAAGACTTGTCTTAGCTAGGGCCAGCTGGGTAGCGCACTGGATTGAGCACTTGACCTGAGTTCAAATCCAACTATAGACACTTACTAGCTGTATGACCCTAAGCAAGTCACTTAACCCTCTTTGTCTCAGTTTCCTCATCTGTAAAATGAGATGGAGAAGGAAGTGCCAAACCACTCCAGTATCTTTGACAAAAAAAAAAAACAAACAAATGGGGTCGCGAAGAGTCAGCTACACCTGAACAACAACAGCAAAAAGCTACTGACTAATAACACACTCATGATTAGCATTGGGAAAGGCTAAGTTTCATTCTTGTCACTGAAGATTAATAAATGCTTGTTGAATTGAGGGGAATTCATTACTTCTTGATAAATTACTGTCTCTGGCTGACTCTTACCTACCTTTGAAGAAGAGGAAATTACAGCTTAGATTCTTATAATCTAACCACTGCTGGGATTCTTATAATCTAGCCATTGGTCAGATCCTTATAATCTAGCCAATAACTTACTAACGTTCAGACTCCTTAAGAGTCTGCCCAATATGATAGATATTCTAATAAACCTTGTCTTAGGCTGAAAAAAAAAAGAAGAGGAAATTACTAATGCATAATTTTTGGTCTCCAAAAGAATGTTCACTCTTTCTTCCTATAATGCAGGGATGTTCCCAGTGTGAAAATCCATTCCCCAACTGAGATCAGCAACTCGTTGGGCAAGCTAAGCTCAGAGAGTTGCTTGGGGATACTGAAAAGTTAAGTGATTTGTGGAGGACCACACAGTAATTGTGCCTCAGAAGCAGGACCTGAAGCCAGGTCATTCCAACTCCAAGGTTGGCACTCCAGGCACTCTGCCATGTGACCCTTCATTTAAGGGTCCCTGAGAGATGGCAGTTTTTTTTCTCTATTGCTACAAGTAACAATGCCAGATCTTTGCATCTTTTATATTTCATAGAATCATAAGATTTATAGCTGGAAGGGACTCTAAAAGGCCACCTTAGTATAAAATGCAAAGTGAAGGGTTTAGATAGAGCAACTAACAGAGAGTGAGCCTCCAGTTTCCTCCTGGAACAGAGAATTAAGGTATGTCTAGTTAAGCCAGAGCACTGGCTCTGGAATCAGGAGAACTTGAGTTCAAATCCAGACTCAGACACTTGACACTTAAGAGCTGTGTGATTCTAGGCAAGTCACTTAACTCTGATTGCCTACAAAAAAAAAAAAAAACAACAAAAAAAACAACCAAAAAAAAAAAAAACAAAGCATATTGTATACCAGTCAGCATAGGGTGCCACGTTTGGAGGCAGGAAGGAGAATTCAAACCCTGCCTCAGAAATTTATTAGCTGTGTGACCCTGGGCAAGTCTCAATGTCTCTGGGCTTTAGTTTTTTTCATCTATAAAACAGCACCTATTTCACAGCGTTTGGGGGAGGCTCACATGAGATAGCTTGTAAATCGCTTTACAAACCACAAGATACCTTATAAATGTAAGGTTATTTGAGGTACTGAAGTGGGCATAAAAAGGAGATGAAAGGTATAGTTCCTGTACTCATGGTGCAAACAAGCTAAATTCTGCCTCCGTGCTCTAGATCAGAGATAACACCACCCCGCTAGGAAGCCTCACCCAGCTCTGTGAAACAATTGACTAGGCAGTAAGTGTGGACAGTGAACAAGCCAGATTTCCACCAGGGATGGAAGGGTTATCACAGTGACTGTGGTGCCTTCGTATTGCAATATTAAAAGTACCTGGGGGCAGTTAGGTGGTGCAGTGGATAGAGCACCGGCCCTGAAGTCAGGAGGACATGAGTTCAAATCCAGCTTCAGACCAAACACTTGATACTTACCAGCTGTGTGACCATGGGCAAGTCACTTAACCCCAATTACCTAAAAAAAAAAAAAAAAAAAAGTGCCTAGCCCTCTCAGCCTTTCATCTTCACCCAGCAGGGTGCCCAAACTTCACCTGCAAATCCACAAGGAAATGTAACACTGCAAACTCACTATGTGAGGCTTGAACCCCAGGTCCCCAACCCTATATGAAGACTGGAAAACAAACATCTTTCCCCTCTCTGACCTGCAAAAACCTATTCGTTATTCTCCTTGGTCCCTATAGCTCCCTTGTATGCCTGTTTTTCTTGGTTTCTGCCCACTGGGCTGTGCTCCAAACACAGGGGCGCTGCACAGACGCAGCAGACTGACCATCGTGCAGCCGGCTGAGGCTCCGAGTCCTTCTAAAGCAAGCACGGGTCCCTCCAATACGTAGCAGCCGTCAGACCCAGCAGGGAATGCCTCAGTGTTCCAAGAAGTTCCTCAGGTTCCTGACAGTGCCTTTTCTTGGGGTCAGAATTATGTGCTTGCCAAGGTAACAAAAGAGACCTACTTTTGTCCTATGTGTTGATAGAATATAAGCTGCTTTAGAGAAAGGATTGCTTGGCTTTTTTTTTCTTTTTCTTTATTTTTGTCTTTTTTTCGCAGCATCTGGCATAGTACTTGGCATATGGTAGACAGATGCTCAATAAATTCATACTTATTGTTGATTGATTAATTGAATCAAAGGTAACTCTATGTGAGCAATTTGAAGGGGCTACAAGATGATGGAGTTATGCACAAATGGAGGGAGAAAGGGACCACTGTCCCTTCAAAAATGTACTATCTTTCAGAGTCAAAGAGGAAGCAAAGAAAGATAAACTCAGAGCCTAGGTAGAGTTTTGAGGATTTTTTTCCTTTTTGCTTGATTTAAGAGAGTAGAGGAAAGGGGAGGGATGGAAAGAATAAAACTGTCTCTTAGGGAGGTTGGGATATTCACCTGGTCCTTTTCAGGTATGGCAGAGTCTCCTTTGGATATGGCCACTAAGAACCACAAAATTGCAAATGTCTTCTGAAATAATCTAGCCCAACACCCTTATTTTACTGATGACAAAAGGCAAAAAATAAGAGTAATCACTCAGAATTAATTAGCCTTTAAGGTTTCATAAAATCATAGATTTAGAGGTAGAAAGGACTGTGGAGGTCATAGCCAAATCACCTCATTTTACAACTGAGGATACCAAGGCACAGCACGAGTCAGTGACTTATCCAAGGTCACACACTGGTAGAAAGCAGCAGAGCCAGGTTTTTTAATTCAAGTCTTCTGGCTCTAAGGCCAGCCCTCTTTCCATTTTGCCACACTGACTATTATCCCAAAGAACTTTTTTCCAACAACTGTCTGAGGTAGAAAACAAGCTCCTTAAAGGCAAGGACTTTCTAGGCCTTCTCTTCGCATCATCAGCATCTAACACAATGCCAGAACATTGTGGTATATAGTGTTTGTATCCTAGCTATTCATTTGCATGTCCTTTTCCCTTATGATATTGTTAAATCCTTGAAGAATTAGTGCTTGAGAAAAGGTGTGTTGGATTGAGGTAGGTAGTAAAAATATAATTATCCCCATTTTGCAGATAAAAAAACTAAGACTCAAAGAGATAAAGTGATTTCCTGAGGTCACATTGCTTCTCAGGGAAGAGATCAAAATGACTGATGCAAGGTCATATTGCTGAATTATTGGCAAAGCCAGGATTTGCCCCCAGTGCTAGTCTAGCGCTCTGGCCAACACACCATGATGTCACTGGTTCCTTCCTTCTTACCTGCCAAGGCCCTTGATACCAGCTGATCCCCTGGCTAAACACTGGAGCCGAAGTCTTTCAATGGGGTCTGTGGCTGTAGCAAGCCTTCTCTTGGCCTGGATCGCCATCTCCCGGTCATGCCTTGCAGTCCCGGCCATCTGAAGGAGGATTTTCACAAGTCACCAAGGAGTTCTGCCTTGCGGGATGGGGCTGGGACTAGAACCTTGTTCACAGCCCTGTATACATTAGAAGAAATCAGTTATGTAGTCTGTCCTTTATCTGCACAGAATTTATATCAAGTTAATCTGAAGAGTAACTAATTCCCTTTTATTCCCTGCTTGCTTTGTCATACCCTCCCAAAAATTGACTCAGTTTCCAGAACTTTCCACATTCAATTTGATCCAGTTCAATTCATATTTACAGAGTACAGACAATGTGTCTGGAATATGTATCACTTATTTATCCATTCTCAGGTACAGCTGGTTTCAGAGCTGAACAATACTCAGTTGTTCTAAAATATTCAGCCAATTTCCACTAGGTTTTGTTGGGTCATATATTTCAAAAATTGTAATTTTCTGACTCAAGGGGAGAAAAATCCCTATGATGCTTCTGTACCTACCACCTGCCTCCCTGAATCAATGGCCTTAATTCTTGCTCTTCAGAGACCTGAGTCTCTACTTTTGCATTCTTCTATCAAGCCTGGTGATAAACAGGACCCATAGGCACTAGCTCTCTATTGATTTTATCTTTCCTGAAATTAGTAATTTGGTCTTGACTGAACCTGTCTGTGCCTGTAGATTTTCCTTTATTGATTGGTTTGTATTTATCAAGTTCTAATGAAAACCAGAGAGGCAGATTGGGTAGAAGATAGAGAACCTACTTCCTCTGAGACAAAAAGAGTGGGTTTGAGTCCCATTAATGACACAAACTGACTGTGTGACCCTGGGCAAGTCACTTAACTTCTCAGTGCCCTAAGGCAATTCACTAAGACCATAAACTGCAAATCAGTTGCTGACCTGTACTGGTAGAGTAAGTTTCCTTACAGAGACCTCTCCCCACCCATTAAATCACAAGTCAGGGAAAAACAAAGTAAGGGCTAGAAAACTTAGAATGAGACAACCAGACTGCATGAAAAGGACTCAGATGAACAGATGCAGAATGAAGTCACTGAGTCAGGAAAACAGTAGACACTATGATTATATAAATGGAAATAGAAATGGAAATCAAAATTAAATATTTCAAAAGTGTAAAGAACAAGTTTGGCCCACAAGAAGTGACGTAAGAAGACACCTCCCCATACTGCTTGGCAGAGGTGGAGGCCTACAGATGGCGCACACTGCATAAAATGTCTGATTTTTTCAATATGCTGATTGGGGGTTTTTCCCCCCTCCATTAAAAAAAAATTGTCTATTAAAAGGGATGGCTCTTTGGTAGGAGAAGAGTGACAGATCTGAAAGGAAATCTAGGGGATGTAAAAAGGTATCAATAGAATCCATTATTTTTTAAAAGAGGAGCAGAATGTCTAGGATTAGGCAGACTGAGAGAAATGATCATTTCTCTCTTATATTAGTAACTAATTATTGAATCAGGACTAAGGTGTTTCCCCTTTTCTGCTTCCTCATCCAGAAAACACCCAGTGTGGGGAAATCTTTCTCAAAGATTTATCCAAGCTAAAAATTGAATCAAAGAGAGTAAAAGAAATTCTAAGTTTAGGCTAATGGGAGGGTTCCTGCTCGTTGTGTTTACTCAGATAGGTCTGGGAAAATGTGGATTCTCCCTTTTGTGAGACAGGTGATACAAAAATTGAGAAATCTCTTTGACCCAGGCTTGGATGATCCATGTCACTATATAAGACCTTCATTGGAATGTAATCCACCTCTCATAATAATATTCATTCTCTCATTAAATGTTAACCAATCAAAGTTAATTGCCAACCTTAGGAACACTCACTCTTCCAAGGGTATATAAATTGTGAGCCCACCACCATGAGGAGTCTTCAGCATTCAAGAGTGCCACTGACCTATTTAATTAATAAACATGCTAGCCTTATTAATAAAATGATTAAATTACCCTAAAACAATGTCTCTCAAACTTTTTAAACATCACAAAGTGCTGTACTGTGCTCCAGTTAGACATCTAGAGTATTGTGCTCAGTTCAGACCTCTCATATTAGGAAGGACAATCATGAGCTGGAAAGTGTCCAAGAACAATAACTAGAATGGTGAAGCGTGACAAATTCATGCCATGTGAGATCAGATGAAGGAAATGGGGATGTTTAGCCTTGAGAAGAGAAGGTTTAATGAAGCCTTTGGTTGTTGTCCTCAATTCTGCTGGGTAGAAGAGGCATATGACTAGTCCATCTTGGCCCCGAGGACCAGGCCAGTCTAGCAGTTGTGAATAGAAGTTGCAGAAGCAAATTTAAGCTTACTGTAGTCTTACTTCCAAGCAATGAGAAATATCCAAAAGTGCAATAGGCTGCCTAGAAGGGTAGTGGGCAGGTTCTCCTTCACTGAAGGTCTTCGAAAAAAAGGTTTGTCCTTTGGTGTAACCCCAGCCCTGAAACCTAAGTGACCAGAGAGCCTGAAGAGACTCAGCTACTTGAAGAAAACTCAAAGGAGACTCCAAGAGGACTTGAACAAGACAGAAGAGCTCTTCTCCCTCTCACTCTCTCCAACCCCAGCATTCAGCTCCACCAGTGAGGAGAGAAGCCCATACCAAATGGCTTTGGGACTGGGTTACATTGGGAAAACCATTTCTTTCTAAACAGAGGAATGGAGACACAGGGATGAGATGGGAAGGAAGTACCAAGGGTTTCTTGGCTAATGTAAAATAGTCTTGTAGGAGGAGAGGGAAAGTCTAAAACAGAATTGTCAAACACAAGATTAACATATATTTGGGAAATATTTAACAAAATTAATTAAAATACAATGGAATGTAGATAATGTTAATTTGTAGTTTTCTAAGTCAATATGAAATGCTGGAAAAAAATTTTTCAAAAAATATGAAATGCTGGAAGTCTTGATTCAACAGCCCTGTTTCTACTTGAGTTTGACACCACCATTCTGAAGGAATGGGTGATTTTGGCCAAAAAAAAATGTTATTGAAGGCTCTATTTCCTTCTTTTCTGAAACCAGAACTATTTAAATGTCTCAGATTATAAACTATTGAACCTACCGAAAACCCTCCCTAGAATCAAAGCCCCAACAAATTCATCCTTATTTTGCTTCTTACTGGACTCTAAATAGGCTTCCCAATTTCCCTTCTAGATGAACTGAACTCTCTGCCTGGCCTTATACCTGTCTGTTCTCATAGTTATTTGTTCAAAATCCCAGCCTGAACTTTGTCCCTATAGAATCACTGATTTGCTTATGAAACTAATTTGCTTAACTGATACAGCTTCCATTTATAATTCCCCTTTATTCTTCCTTATTCTGCTCTTTTCCTTTTTGCTGATACTTTCTTTTTTTCCCTTCAAAGCAGTGGTGGGAGCCAGGAATCCCGAGTCCATTAGACATTCTGATAAGTCATTCAAATACATCTGTTGTTTCAGTGTTCACATCTTTAAAACTGAATAGTAACAGCAGCTGGCACCTGTTTGTTCAAAAAACTTCAAATTCCATCTCCTATGTCTTTGCACAAGTCATTGCCCATAGCAAGAATGCCCTCACTCTTCACTTTCATCTTCTACTATCCCTAGCTTCCTTCAAAGCTCAGCTCCAGCCGCACCTCAGACGTGAGATCTTTCCTGAGCTTGTCCCACAGTTCATATCTTTCACCTAAAATTACCTCATCTTTCTCTCGTATCTATTTTGTATATATTTATATATGTGCATAAATTGTTTCCTCCACTAAACTCTTTGAGGGTAAAGACTTGATTTTTTTCCCTTCATTATCTGAAGCACCCCCGTATAGTACCTGGCATATAACAGGCACTTTAAAAAGGCTGACTGATGAATCAAAGGGTATTGTGGGCATGAGATAACAGAAACAGTACTGCCAGCTCCTAGAAGGGAGGTATGATAGTATACTGCTGCCAGATCTGCATGGTTAGCCTTGCCTAGCTTTTTTTTCTCTTTTTGGACTTCAGTTAAAAAAAAAAGCCAACTTTGCAAGCACAAGGTGGAGGAGGGGTGGTTAGACGACAATTCATCAAAAAAAGATCTGGGAATATTAGTGGACTGCAAACTTGATATGGCTCAACAATGCGACAGAGCAACTGCAAAAGCTAATTCAATCTCAAGCACAACAAGGGTGGTGATAGTATTATTTTACTAGTCCATGCTCTGACCTCACCTGGAGTGCTGTGTGTCGTTGCGGACACCACTTTTTAGGAAGGGTATTGGAAAAATGGTGTGTGTCCGCAGGAGGGTGTTGCAGCATGAGGAGATAGACGATCATGCAAAAAGGCAAAAAAAAGACCACGTGAAGGAACTGGGGAAGTGGGGGGAGGGGCAGGGTGGTATCCTGGAGAAGCTATCTGCCCTCGTTGCCTTCATTTCTTCTCCTCCCACTCATTTCTCAACCCCTTGCAGCCTGGATTCTAACATCATCATTCCACTGAAACTGCTCCCTCTCTGATGCTCCCCAGGATGTCTTAATTGCCTACCCAATGGCCCATTCTCAGCCCCCTTCCTTCTTGAGCTTTATAGAGCATTCGCCATTGAGGACCACCCCCCTTCTACTCTACTCTCTCTTTCCTGTGTGATGTGATGCTTCCTCCTGCTTCTCTTCTTACCTGTTTGATGATTCCTCGGGTCCCTTTGACAGACTATCATTACAGTCCTGCCTCCCAATTGGGATAGAGCTAGCCCCTCCCAGCTTTATCCTGAGACCCCCTTTTCTCTCTCCATATCTTCTCTCAGAGATCTTATCACTTTCCATGGGTTCCATCATTATCTCTATACAAATGACTCCCCCAGTTACGGGTTCATTTCTGTATCACCAAGCGGCTTTGGGACATGTCCAACTGGATATCCCATAGACATCCCAAACTCAGGATGTCCAAGCCATAACTAATTATCATCCCCTTTTCAAACCTTCTCCTCCTCCTGTTTTCCCTGTTCCTGTTGACAGCATCCTTCTGGTTGGCCAGGTTTTTCAGCAGGTTTCTAGTCTCAGAGTCATCTTAAACTGTGCCTGTCATGAATTTTCTCATAGTGTCTGACTTATGATTTCTCTGACTTCATTTTATTATAGTATGTATAAGGACAGGTTCACTTCTTAGAATGGTGTTAAC